GTCCTCTACTCATTTTCCTGTTATCTAATTTTCTGGATTCCACTCCCCCTAATGATCCCCTAGCAATTTTTGGCCACTTTCTGTTTGGATGTCTATTACGATTGGTTCTTTCTCACCACCGTCTCTCTTCTCCAGGACAGACAGGTCTCATTCATTATAATGACTGTAACTATGAGAAGTCTGACCTGCGCCTCCTCTGCTCAACATACCGACCCACCAACTCCAACACGTTGCATGTCCTCCCATCCCACTTTGACCTCCACCCGGCCACCCAAGTCGCAAGCATTCACATAGCTCATAGTCTTCACAACCCGTTCTGTTAAGATGAAGTTCTCTTCCATCAGACACTTGCACAGCAGTCTTGAAGGCCATCTGCCAGCAAAGGGAGGTGTTCTTATAAGACAATCCTGAACAAGAAAGTGGATAATAGAAAAGCAAAGCTATAAGAGATAAATTTGGCTGAAAATTTTTTTTTGGGATCGCCTATTTGGTTGGATAATATTGCATTATGAATATAATGGTACTATTAACGGATATTGTTGGTTCTGACCCAAAAACAATGATAATAATACAAATAAATATCCAGGATTCGCCAGGCATTGATTGGTCCAGCAACTAAATGGTACATTGAATTTGGCTGGTGACACCAAGAAAGAAATTATCTTACCACTACCACACAGCATTTTGTCATACTAGGAACACCAAAATAAGTCTACTTAGGAGGAAATAGCAAATTTCGCCACTAGTCCACAAATTAGCTTATCATAAATCTGCTAAATGAAACTTCTAAGAGAAACCGGGTTTCAATGAATCTTCTGAGATAACATTGTTGGGGGGACTTTCATTTCGTATAAAAGTGGATTAAGGCTGCAGTACAACGGAACTCATCCGTCCTTTTCTGGGGAGATCGTCCTATGAGTCTCTTCTTCATGCACTTACATTCGAAATAAAAGTCCCCTCAATAAATGAGACTAAGCATGTTTGCTTGCCCCATGGAGACATCAGCGCACAATATGCAGTACCAACTAAGAACTAAGGCCAAATTTGGAGTAAAGTTTACTTAGCCAATGGTGCATTATTGGACGGCTTTTCCATCTTGGCTTAACGGAAGTTTTACTTCGTCTTGATTCCATTAGCTTCTCTCAACTGAATTCGAAGTCGGGTCCTGCGGATGAAGAGGCTACTACACAGCCCGAGGGCAAGTGGGTCCCATGGAATATGTGGAACCTGTACCCAAAAAACCGCTATAATCGAAAAATCGTAATGTTTTATACTAACTAAAGTAACCATATTGTTTACATTGTGAAAATTTAGGATATTTTTCATTATGGTCGACTATAGGATTCAAACAGTGTGCATGTAGGCGTTGGGGATTGTATGCACTGCGAGTGCATGTATTAAGGGATGTGAATACCGTTAATAAGAGATATACAGATAAAATAAAATAGATATAGAAGATGGGAAGAGCAAGAGGTGTGGCCTTTTGTGTGGTCACAGTCTCCTTTCGTTGTATAGAGGTTGTTTGACCTTGTTTTCGAGCAGTCAATCTGGTTAATTAATAACAATAAAATATCTAAACTATCCTTACCATCAAAGATATGAAGACCGTTGGTGTGGCCTTTTGTGTGGTCGCAGTCTCCTTTCGTTGTATAGAGGTTGTTTTACCTTGTTTTCGCAACTTGGTCATATTGGTAGGAAGACTTACAGGAACACACCTAGTCCGGAGTCCAGTGTATACATAGTTATTTCCAGAGTAGGACCGTGGACGTGGTACATTCCCAGACGTTTCGCCGGCATCGTTAGTGAGTCTCGCCATTTTTAGCACCACACAACAATTCGTCAAAGAGACAAGTGAAGCCGATCCTTTGACCAAGTGTGTGCTAAACACTTCTTTGTCTCTTTGAAGAGTTGTAGTATGGTGCCAAGAATGACAAAGTTCACTGACGATGCCGGCGAAACGTCTGGGAATGTACCAGGTCCACGGTCCGACTTTGGAAATGATCATGTATACAATGGACTCCGGACTAGCTGAGTTCCTCTAAGTCCTCCTACCAATATGACCAAGTTGCGAAAACAAGGTCAAACAGCTTCCATGAAATAGATTTGTTTTTTAATATTTTTCGTTTTGTAATCAGGATTTCGAGGCTATCGGTAGATTATATATATATATGAAATAACTTCTCCCTAATTGGTTTAAGGTGATAGATGTGCTGGTAGATAAATTTTACAACAATTATATGAATAGACCATGCGT